TTGCCTTCACCGTAGCTTTTCATAATTCCAACTTTAAAAAAATGAACTAAAATGTGATTTCAGTTATTGCAGATGCATAGCTTTCATATATTTTGTTAAATTATCCAAATTCACTCCTATTAGACTGACCCTATTCTGTATCACCAAAGCACTACCACAAGACATTTAACTAGATGTAAGTAGACTTATCTGAATCACCATTTATAATCAGTCAATTACAAAGAATTCAAGGAATATCCTACTTTGACATTGACTAAAGATCTACAGAAGACTAAATGTGGATGACTGGAAGTCCTCCAGACTAACTGGAGGATGCAGAAGGACACATGGCAGGACACAAATGTGGAGGTAACTGCATACTACACTGTCAGGCTCTGATCAAAGAGTCTGTTCAAAAAAGTCAGCACATATTTAATACTGATTTTAAGTATGTAGAAGGGATGGCATTTTAAGTGTCAATACTGCACTGTGGGGTTATACAAATGCTTCTGCATTCCCTTAAAAATGTTTTTTAAAACAAAAATAATTCAGTAAGGATTGTTTAAAATCACTTCAGAAAGATGTGGAAGAGGAAGAACAGCAAAAAGAAAATCAATGATTCTTAGGTCTGATCAGATATTAACTACATAATGCTATTTCTAAGACAAGAACTAAAAAAAAAATGAAAGTCTGGTTTAAATATTTTGCACCCCAGCCCAATTACATCTTATCCTATAAAGGCTGATCTATCACAGACAGGAATTCACTACAGCAAAACACCTCAGACAAATGAATAGCAAACAGAAAGGAGGAATAAAGTTCTTAACAAACAGAAATCCAAACAATCCAAAGTACACTCCTGAGCATTTAGCAAACAGGTACCTGTAGCCTGTGTAAAACCAAGTTAGCAAATTCAAAATCATGAATAAGAAGTAAAGCACTCAAAAATCAGAACTGAAATTAAAACTCAGCATTCAACACTGTCTGAGCTTTCCATCTTAACCTTAAGCCTTTAAAGTACACACCAAAAACTATGGATTCTCTACAGTTTTCGTATCCAACTTGTTGCTCACATCCAACTTCTTGCTCAACTTGTCTTCCAATAGCTGAAGTATAAAGAGCGCAACTTTTCATACAACCTGAGAAAAGTAAATCACGGTGTAGTACAGAAACAATACAGAAGGCTGTTCTATTTGGCTTAGTGAGACCTGCAAAGTAAACACAGTTTTAGAAACTTTGGTATTTGTAAGATTAAGACAATTTCAATTTCCTAAAGTTTGAAATGAACTCTATAAAATTCAAAGCAGCTCACAGCAGACTTGCAGTATTCCAAATTTTGAACTTTACCCAGTGGAGGTCACCTTGCAAACAAATAAACAAATGACACTAGATAAGAAGAAAGAGACTACAACACTAAAATGACAGAAAGGGCCTGAAAGACACCTTTCCTCTATGAAATACAGCCCTAGCTACATGGTTTGCAGAAACCTTGGCATATGATCTATAGGATTACAACATTATGCTACGGAGTGGAGGGAACTGCATGTACCAGCAGGCATATCTCATCTGCTGGTACCAACCTGAGCTTACTTCTTGAAGCAGGTATGCTGTAGCTATGATTGAGTGAGCCTTGACATGCCTCTCCAATTTCAATCCTGTAAGTGTACAGCAATGAGAAATGTAAACCAAGAGCCCAAGAGATTTTAAAGAAGAGGGGAAAAAGGGAGAGAAGATGGGTTGATATATATGCATCCAATGAAACATTCAAGTGGATACCATTTTCTAAGGGGTTTTGACTGTTTTAAAGAAAAAAAAAAAAAGGGAAAATGTTTCAGGCCTTCACTAAACAGATATGCATTACATGGAAGCACTTCTGTAAACAGCTACTGAAAGAATTTCTGGCTTAAAGTCAAATGGAAATAGGCTGTATGACTTTCACGATACATCTGCATCTCTAATATGAAGCTTCCTAATTTTATGACATAAACCCACCCCTACTGTAAGAACCAAATACGGACTCTATGTACTAAGTACGGAGTATTTCTGGCAAGACGAATCACAAGAAACTAAATTAGTCTCATAAATTACAAGAAGAATAACATTACAGATTACTGATTACATCAGATTTGTGGATTTGTTTACAGTCTACTTCTTAAATTCTCCCTTTTTTGTAAATAAAAATAATGTATTTAAACAGCATGTTTTACACAGTGTACCAGCAACTGAAATTACCAGGCCCATACTGATATACCAAAAGAACAATAATGGAGAGGTACTCCCGGTTCATTCGGAGCGTAAAGAAGCTGCCTTTATGAGTGTGTTCCTATGTTGAGTCAAAATTAGAGATCTAGGAAGATACACCTTAAGGCAGACAGACACAGCAGACCTTTTGTATTCCAATAACGAAACATGGGCTGTAATCTCCGTAACTGAGAACAATCCAACGTGTAACTAGAAACTGTCCAGAATTCCCTGTCAACAGGCACACTAAATCAATGCTTGCCTGCATACAGAGACCCATACACACACGCAAACACATATGCACACACAAACACATTTCTGTAATTATGGCATCGCTCAAAACCACTGAAAACAAGAACTCAAGATGGTAGAATTCCCAGTTTCTCTACACCCTGCCTGGAATTCACAGGGAAGTCTAACAGCATTAGCAAGTATGAACACAGAAATTAATCTCCACTGCCACATCTTGTACCTAGAAAGTCTGGTTCCATTTAGTCTAAGAGTGTTCATTACACGTTGAAACATAAATTGTGAGAATTTAAATAAACCTAATCCAGGGACACTGTGAAGAGAAAGTGGAAACTGACAATTCAGAAGTTGTGCCGGCACCACCCATTTTAATATGCCACATAAGCAGAAGTGCAACAAAAGCTAAACTGCAGAACAACATCATATACAGTCATATGAGTGTCTAAGTGATGTTTAGAGCTAAAAATACAGACAGTGAAGTGTCTAACTGACTGAACTAGTGACTAAATATCACACCTAGCTGACTCATCCATTTACCGAGCTTTTTTGTACAAATACATGAAAATTTGATTCAAAGAAGATATAGTATATTATAAAATGTCAAGAGCGGTAAGAATTACAAAAATACATAGGTTGTCAGAATGACAACATTGATTTGACAACCTATGTATTTCTGTAACTGTACACATACTTATGTTATCAAGTATCTACACCTGTAGTGCTAAAAGGAGCCTTTATAGTGTTTCATATCCTTCTTCAGAATATTTAATATACTGTGAAACTTTACTCCCTTCATCAAGTTTTCGCAAAAGATGCTAAATTATAACTTCTAACAGAGGAGAAAAAGAGACTTCTTATTCACACAAGTGTGACAGATATGCTGTGCAAAAAAAAGCTGCACTTCTTTCCAAGTCGTAGCACTTATTACAAAACAGTAGAGTGCAGCTCCCCGCTTGTTGCAGAAAAAAACTGAGACTGAAAACCCACCATCACTGATGATGACTTAATTCATGCTGACCGAAGCAATATGAAAACTTCAAATGATTTTTTTTAAGCCTTCCTGTGACACAGAGAAAGCTCAATTCATACCTACGGACTTATACCTATGAAAAACATACCGTCAATCTGCAATTAAAAAAAAGTAATTTCTGAAAAACAATCCTAAGAAACTTGCATTATACAGCTGGATAAAACTGTACATAAAAAAGGAATTAAAATAAGAACTACATAATATATTATGAAAAAAAAATTGAGCCATTCTTTATAAGTCTTTTATATACATATGTGTACACACACACACACATACTTACAACCAAGCTTACATACAGTTCCTGTCACCAGGAAAGAGGGAGTTAAAATGCCTTTCCTTTTCTTTCCTTCCCTCTCTAATGAACACCTGTTCAAAAGGAAGGGCTATGAAAAGAGCCAGAAGAGTAACAGGAAGGGCAGAGTGTTTGGAGGAAGTCACAGCTCCTCAGGCAGGCACTGAGGCTTGGGCTGATCTCCAGGAGAGAGAAATTCTGGTTTGTTAGTTGGCCTGTTTGCATTGATATTTATGGTCAGACCAAACTGTTGAGCAGACTTCACTATTTACTGCTCCATCACTCCTGTTAGTTATCCTGTGAGTTCACAGGATATTTTGGAAGAGTCAATGCAAACATTAAGAGACCAGACTACTGAGTTATGGCAGCAATACGTGAGGTGTCCACAGACATTTCACTCTGAGCTCACTGCAATTTCAAATTAGTAGGTTCTAAATAGCAAGGGCACAATTTAAGTTCTTCTTAAGATTGCATCAACTTAATAATGAGCTTCTTTGGAAGAGGTGGCACTTTGACTATTTGAAAAGCAGACAATATTTTGGGTCAAGAAATCAGAGTCTGAGCTCCTAATTTCTAAGTTTGTAAAATTTTAAAAGCTTATCACTATCTAACAATCTGGAAGATTTGGTACAATCTGGTTTAGCACTAAGTGCCTTAGTACTAAGAACAGAGTCGGAAAGGAAACAGACAGACCACACAGACTTTATCTGACCGGTGTGAAAAAAAGTGACTTTACACCCTTACTGCTGTTACCATAGTGAGAAATGGCTATACTACAGATGTCCTAGGAGAACAGCAAAACACAAAAAATCCTCATAGCAACATTGTTAAAAGCTGCTTCCCGGAACAAAACCTTGAGGCTTGCTGAAAACTGGAGAAAAAAAAAAAAGGGTAAATATTTCTACCATTCCTCAACAGACTCCTTTATAGTTGTGGGTCTAAAGCTACACCCATGACAGTAAAATTAATTTTAAGGGGTCAGAGAGCAGTAGCAGCCTGCAAATATTAACCAGGACTTTTGTCGTCTGTTTATCACCAGACAGCACATTAGACCTTTGGAAGTTAAAGATGAAAACTTTCTACATACCGTTACAAAGAAAAACATTACTCAGTAATTTCTGTTCTTTTTGAGTCTAAATATACTACACTGATTGTCTATATAACAGTGTGCTTTAGGCAACACACAATTTTTAAAACAGTAAGACTTACCAATCCACTTAAGGCTAAAATCCAGATGTAGGAACCAGAGGTTAAGAGCTAGAAGACAAAAGCCATGATGTAAAATTTTAATTTTACATAGCTGTTGTTGTCTGAGCTACTATGTTGCCGTACTATATAGGCTATGTACTTATCATGACAATGGGAGAAGTCAGACATTCATCTCTGTGAAAACTCAGTTTAACATTAAAAAAAAGATGTATTCCAGAAGTAGCAGAAGTGGAAAAAACACAACTGTTCTCCCACAGAACAATACATTTCATTTTCTTGTAGCATACTAAGTATAACAGGATGTCAGTTATAGGCTGCACAGAAAAACAAGTCTGAAAGATAGACTGAAGCAAAGGAAATGACTCAGCAGCAACAGGAGAAGAGTTCCAAGTGTGGCAGGCAGTGCAAGTGAAGCTCTAGATGTGCAGTCATGGAGAGACTAAGCACGAGCATCAAAATTAAAGAAATAAAGTTCTCACCCAGTGGCATATTTGTTGATATGAAATCACAGAAATAGGTTGGAGTGGATTTTTTAAAAAATCCTGATAAGGCAACAGGGCAGCCATCATTTCTAGTAAAGTATGCAATTAATCACCTGGAGAAGATTATCACCAACTGGAAAAACAGGCTGAAAATTAGACTGATACTGGTTACTAAAATAGTTCTGTATGATGCCAACTGAATCATGAGAACACCTTCCTTCTAGCCTTATGATACTTGAGGTAAGGGCAGAGTTTACAAATGAGGAGAAGGCAAATGACTTTTCCCTCAGCCTCTGTGTTGTCAGCAGCAACTGTTCTGTACCTAGCAGGGAAAGATCCAGCAAAGATACAGTGATTAGTAACAGCAGGGATCTATATCAGAGGTGCTGTGTGTATGAAAGCAAAAGGCAAAGGACACAATGGAAAATAGCTCAGACAATATCATGGCTTTCCCAAAGACCGGGATAATAGTGGTATTGATGGTTTCGGAGAAGAGGAAACAAGATTTCTGTATGATCAAGAAAACAAGGTGCTGGAGCAGAAATTCAAGGAATCCAAAGGTTGAACACCAAAATGGATGAATGAACCGTTCATGTGGAGCACAAGTCAATATTCTGAAACTGACCATTAATTCTAAAACACTATCTACCACACCTCACATAACTATGGTGCTTTCCATTGCTAGTGCTAGAGCTATTTTTGAGTCCCTGGAATATATAAAAATGAGTACAATTTCTCATAAGTTTGCACATCTCCTGTTTCACAACTCGGTTTGTGACATGAGTGTCCATTCATTTCTAGGCTGCTGGGGGTTTTTTTGTTGTGTTTTTTTAACAACTACTGCCTTTCTCTACCAAGTACCTATATTTTTCCACTCATATTTAACATACATGATATTGCTGTGCTGTATGTTACACTATTATAAACTACTTGCCTCATGGTAATGCTTGATATACAAATAATATTAATTTATATAAAAGTTGAGTTCAGCCAAAACCTTGGTTATTTACCAAGTCTTACCATAGAAAAAATACTGTATTCTATAGCTTTGTTTGAGTTCTAACAAACAAGTGGAAAATTAAAAAAAATAAGAATATAAGCAAATTAGAAAGGTGAAAGATACACATGCCTTAGCATCTGTTTTAATCTAGTTTCATCTAGTTCATTTTGTGACAAAAAAAATTATAGAATTGTCTATTATATTTTCCTGTGCAAGACAATCAAGACAGAAGAAAATGGAACAGATCACTTGCCCAGCATTTCAGCATATAGAAATGCGTATTAGCAACATGTTTTTCAATATTTCAGTTGATGGGACAGTCACTAGCTAAACATATGTGGAATCATATACATGGAAGGATCAAAATTCATAGATGAACATACAGAAGTACTAACTACTACATTAGTCATTCATTAAAAGATGAACAACCAAGTATATACCATACCTGTAAACCCAGTATATAGACCAGTGACTTGTTTGTGATAGAAAAGTGGCCTAATACTTGTGTCACTTGCACTCTTGGAATGGAGGAATAAAATGGTACAAAGAGAGCAAACACAGGACCCAAGCTGCAAAAACAAAAGATACAGATTGTTAATAAGAATAATAGCAACAGAAGTGTAAAACAATACAAAGTAATTAATTCTAAGTACATAACAATCAAAATGTAATACCACCTTGCAAACAAAGGTCTTTCCTGGGAAGCAATGATTAGGTAATTTGCGGTATTCAGGATAACAGATTCATTAGCAAATAAGGAACTACTAGTCTTTGGCAAATATCCTTGCAAAGAAGAATCAGGTGAAAAAAAGTATCTTATTTCCAAATTTTTTTAACTCGAGGCAGCAGAGAAGACAACATATTTAGTCTAATAACAGACTGTTTCTAAAAAATACAGCCCACAAGAAGAACAGCAGTAGTCTCCCGCATCAGAACAGAACCTCTTTGATCCAAGTGGACAAATGGTAGGGATCATACCTGTCCCTGAAGGTCATGGAAACCACTTCACTTAACAAGTTAAGCTTCATATTCACCCAGGTTTAAGGTTTTAGAGGACTGCCAAAAGACTGCAGTATCTAAGATGGGAATACTGACAATTTAACTTCCCTTTGCCAGTGACTTCCATGGCCTGACAAATAACTTTCGTTAGGGTCCTCACCTAAACCACAGCACAAGATGTTTATTAAATTTCTAAACCCTCGTTGGAAGCAGTTTTATACAATTTAAAACGCAAGCACCTTTTATAATGACCAGAGACCTAGATTGAACTTGTGAACATAATGCATTCATTTCACATGCCCAAATACAAAACCTGTGTTCCTCACTAGAAAACGTCCAAAAAACTAAATGAGATATTGAAGACAACAGGAGAGGCCACAGGAGAGGCAATGCCAAAGGCATGGATATGGGAGATTCTAGAAGAAAAACACTTCCTAGATGGAAAAGAGAAGAAAAAAAAAAGTCACTTCAGGTAGACACGACCTGCTCCACTGGCAGAGCTGCAGTGGTGGTGACCTCCAGGCAGCAAGCTGCAGGCAGCAGGCAGGGGGAGGCTATCTGCAAAGTGCACATCTGCCCCAGCTGAATCCTCGCTCATGGTTCTGTGCTGCCTAGTGTCTGACGGGCGTTGGATGCTGCACAGGGGAATTGTTCACTGCTCGTCAGCTTATCAACACTTTCAAGAATTGCCGTTTCCATAGGCCTTTATATGAAAGGGATATTTTACTCATCAGGAATTTTGCAAACAGCACAAACCAGGACCCAAATAACTTGAAGTGCTCAATCAAAAATACATTTCCTTCCAGTGGAGCTACTGCTAGGAGCAATATTATGTAAAATGGTGGTCCGAATATTAAAACTTTTATTTCCTGAATAACTGCCAAATGCAACACCCACAGCTATGAAAAAAACCCAAAACATTATTCAAACATTATTTTTACTCATTTAATGGGCTGTGGCTTAAGAGCATTTTGTTATCATTTTGTTTGTTATATCTGAACTTCAGCATGCTGAAAAGCTTCCTCTCTGAGGACTTAAACACAACTTAATTATAGAAATATTTTTAGTATCATCCATTTAACACACGGTCAGATGCACCTGAATGTATAGAGGATGCTAACTCAGAAACTACTGAAAAATGTTAAATTTTGCACATAATCCTTCTTACATAAACAAAAACCACCTGTATAAACACACACAACAGATTCTTAAAACAAATTCTTAAAACAAATTCAAATTATTTAAGTTGTAGGAGTTGACAGACACAGCTACAAGAGTACCACATACAAAAATGATTCTTCATCAGAAGTGTTTCCATTGTAGACAATATTCACGGAAGTAAATCAGATTTTATAAGTGCAGAGAGAAGAAAAAAAAGATATTTTTCTCTCTTAGAAAAGTGATTGAAAATTATTTCTTTCTACTCTTATGAAATGAACTGAGGGAGCACCAAAATTGTGGTATGCTTTTCAGGTTTTATTCCTCCTGTGATAAACAGTGATGCAGACACAGAGATTTCACACGCAAGAGTGCACTCAATCATAAGATGGGAAAGTACAAAAAGAAATTTCCCATGACTGCAAGTGCATTTTAAAAAGAGATTAAAGACTGTTGAAAGATTCCTTAAATGTTAATATTCACCACTAATGTCAACAGAGGCCATAGAAAGCACCATCCCAGTCCAGGGTAGTGATCTGTGTAATTCAAAGTCCAGTGTCTGACACTGCTCAGTTAGTTTTGCCCTCAGGCCTCTCAGGACCCTGAGCCTCCTGTGGGACTGGAGCAACACCTTTTGTAAAGGAAGATGACTAGGAAGCTCTTGAGCCCAACTGGACAAGAGTCAATGGGACCAAATGTGGTGCACCTCCAGGTGCTGAGGGAGATGGACAATGTTACTGAGGGAGATGGCCAATGTTACTGTTGTTATCATTGAAACATTGTGGTGATCAGGTGTCCTGGTTTTTCATCTGGGTCAAAGCTAACTTTCTTCATAGTAGCTAGTAAGAGGCTGTGTTTTGGATTTGTGCTGAGGAGAAGGCTGATAACATACTGATGTTTATAGTTGTTGCCAGGACAGGGAAGGACTTCTCAGCTTCTCTGCTGTGCCAGTGTCTGCAGGTGCAGGAGAAGCTGGGAGGGAGCACAGCCCCAGTTACTAGCCTAGGATTTGACCTTGGGTTTAGGATTGAGACCCAAACTGGCCACAAGTCTATTTCACATCATGCCCAGTATATAGATGGGGATCTGTCCAGAAGTGCTCTCACTCTGAGTCTTCTCTCTCTCTGGGTCCCCCCTCTCTCATGGTCATATCGCTCCCTTGGTCAGCTCTCAGTCTCAGACACTAGGGCTCTTATCTCCTTTCCAGGATTGCAGTTTTGGGACTCTCCCTGCTCTGGGATTGTTGGCCAGGAACAGGCTGAGCCTTCATTATCGGGTGGTGAGCAGTATCACTGTGTATCACTCATTTGTATGTTTGTATATATTACTATTACTATTACCATTATTATTTCCAATATTATTGTAGTTTAGTTACTGGATTGTTCTTATCTCAAGACACGAGGCTCCTATCCCTTTACCTTTTCCCTTCACCATCTCCGGGAGGTGGCAGGTTGAGCAAGTGGTTCTTGTGGTGTTTTGCTAGCCAGGGGTAAAAACATGACATCAGGGCAGGTTCCCAATGAATGGAAAAATGCAAATGTCACACCCATCTTCAAGGAGGGCAAGAAAAGGATTCGGGTAGCTACAAGCTTCACCTCTGTCCCTGAGAAAGTTACAGAGCAAATCTCCTAGAAGCTACTGCCAGGGACAATGACAGACAAGGCAATTACTAATAGCCCCTATGGATTTGCAAAGGGTGACTCTGGCACTGTGGACAAGGAAGGGGAAGGCAATGAATGTTGTATGCTCTGACTTTAGGACAGACTTTGACTCAGTCTTCTCCTGTGTCCTTGAAGAAAAACTAGGGAGATATGGACTGGATAAGTAGTCTTGAGGGAAACTTGCCGGACTCAAAGGTTTCTGACCAGCAGTACAAAGTCCAAGTGGAAGACAGTTTCTAGCAGCTTCCCTCAGGGATCCACACTGGCGCCAACACTATTTATTGTCTTAATTAATGACCTGTGGACAGAGTGCACTCTCAGCAAGCTGGTGAATGACATCAAATTGGACGAAGCAGTCAATACTTTGGAGAGCAGGGCCGCATTCAGGCACTCCTGAATGGGCTGACAGGAACCTTATAGAGTTCAACAAAAGCAGCTGCAGCTGCAGAGTTGTCCATCTGGGTTGGAACAACCCTGTGCAACGGTATGGACTGGCTAGAAAACAGATTTGCAGACAAGGAGCTGGAGAACCCTTTGAATGTTAATCAGCAGTTCGCCCTTGCAGGAAAGGCCAATCGCTTGCAGGGCTGCACTATCACATAGCAGTTAGTCACCAGGCCAAGCAAAGTGCTTGTTCAGCACTTCTGAGCCTGAACCTGAATCCTTGTGTCCGCTTGTGGGCTTCTTGCTTCAAGAAAGGCATTTTGATATACTGAAGGAAGTCCAGCTTGGGGTAATGATAGTCCAGTACCATACCAGGTTACCCAGAGCTAGAATCCACATCCTCAGAGATACAGCCTGGACACACAGCCCTAAGTAACCTGTTCTTGTTGGACATGCTTTGAACCCAGGATTGAATTAGATGACTACCAGATGTCATGTCAGACGTAAGCTATTTTATTATTCTGTGAATAATCAAAGCCTTGTTCCTGAAGCTCATAATCACTGGAGGGATTTCTGTTCCTGTATTTCACTAGACAGGCTCAAATGTCCATCCATGTACTGCAAATAAAAGGACTGGTTCTTAACTCTTTTAATTATGTTAATTAATTGTTTGGTAACATATAGTCAAATTCAAAATCTACAACTAGAAAACATACTCTTACTGAATGACTACTTCAATTCTCTCTTTTCCTCTTAGTTTTGCTTGTCCTTTCATCCCTTTTAATATCCTTTCCTCTACTTCCTCTCCTTTTCCAGAGACCTTCCTTCTGGCCCTTTTTTCATTATACTATGAGAATATCAGGTACATCCAATCAAGTGCCACAATTAACTTCTACTAGAAACCTGAGATGTCTGTGTCCAAAGAGGGGCGATAGACACAAATACATGCTGATTTCAAACTGACTTTACACCCACTTCATCTTTAGGAAGCTAATTTTCAGTCATGTGGGTTAGAAAATAAAATTTTCTAACAAAACAGAAAATCTAAAACCTGAACGATTAAATTTTAGAGTTTGAACATTCTATATGCACACCATGTCCATTCCAAAGGTGAACTGTAATATCAGGTTCTACAACACTAATATCCTCATTTTGAAAAGCATGTTAAATTCCAACATTTGCAGTGAAAATGAAACACAGCACACCAGATGAGAACATTCTACATGTGATGAGATTGGTTTTGCACAGATAAAAGAACAGCTTGAAGAAACAATAACCTTGAAAAGATAAACTAGAGATGTAGAAACTACTGGCAGAGAAGAAAAAATAAGGGACAAGTACTTCTTATCAGAGAACCATGTTACTTAGAGTTTAAAAGGGTGAATATTAAATGGAGACTAAAATAAAACATTTTAACATTAGTAAAATGTTAGGGCTTTAGCTTTCCTAACCTGATCTCTGGCTTCGTGGACAGGGACAATATAGAGACACTGTCTGTGAAGCCAGAGATCAGGTTAGGAAAGCTAAAGCCCAAACAGAATTCAATCTGGCCAAGGGCGTTAAGGGTAACAGGAAGAACTTCTACAGGTATGTTAGCGATAAAAGGAGGACTAGGGAAAATGTGGGCCCTCTCCGGAAGAAAGCAGGAGACCTACTGACCCAGGATATAAAGAAGGCTGAGGTACTTAATGAGGTCTTTACCTCAGCCTTCACTGGCCAGAGCTCAA